GAAGACCCTTGAGTGTTTAACCCTACAATTACAAACAACCTTATATTCTATTTTTGCATAACAAAATGGCTTGAAAATTTCTCAAGTATATTAAAAATTAAAAAGGAATTCTTTATAAATTGGACATAATTTATTTTTGTTAATCTCAAACTAGATTTGAAAAGGAACAATAGAAAGAGAAAAAGAAGATGACAAAAGAAACTAGATTAAAAAAAAATTAAAAGAGCAAAGAAGATGGAAAAAAAAAGAGGTTTTGAGGCTGGCCGCCAGCCGTAATTTGGCCGGCGGCCCCCTAAAAATAAAAAAATGAAAGCTTTTTTTATTTTTTTTTCTTTTAAAAAGAGAGGCTTAGCAATTTTATATTTTTTAGTTAATGAAATGCCTAAAATAAAGACGAAGCTATTTAATGTAATGAAATTATTTTTTAACAATTAAGAAAAAAATACATGAATAAAAAAAATCATATGGTAAAAAAAGTCTTTGTTTGAGAATTAAGTTTAAAAATACCTCAATTGAGGAATAAAGATTTAAAAATATATTGGTTTGAGAAAAAACTCATCTATCATTTAAGAACTTGATGTGTGTTATTCTTTGACATTTATTTGGTTAGTGAAAAATTAAGGAGAATTAATCCCACATAAAAATGAAGTTTAGTCCGAAATGAGTTTTTGAAGGGCCTGTTTGGTTGTTGGTTATTTCTTTTTCGTAAAAAAGTTTCAAATAGTGATTTTAAGTGCCAATCAATGTCAATTTTACTTTTGTTCTTAATCTCTCATTTTTTGTTATTCTCCTTTACTTTAAATTGTCATTTTGTCTCTCAAAAACAAAAAGGGAAATGAATAGAATTCCCATCTATATATCTGAAATCAAGAAATTGTTATACAAACCCAATTTAGTCCCGAGAGAATGATTTATTTATCAATTTTTTGAGTAAAAATAATAATAAATATAAAACGTAATTTTAAGGAGCTTCTTTTGCTTGTTGCTAGAAACAAAAATCACGCATAATTAACTATGCTATTAATTTGCATGTATTATTATAACCAAATATAAGAGAAATTAGTGCAAAAGGATCATTAAAAAGAGAGTGTTAGCCATATTGTCTCTCTCATCTCTTTAAAATTTAAAATCATTTTTTTTTCCTTGTTATAGGACTGTCGTTGGTCATTTTTTTGGCCAGTTGTCAGCTCCAAAACCTTAATATTTATGATTTTTGCTTCTTCTTTTGTTTTTCTTTTCCTTCCCTTCACTAATCCTACATTTCATTTTTTTCCCTCAAATCTAGATCTATATCTCCATATCTTTAATTATCTATTTTTTTTTAATAAAAAAGATCAAGATCATTACGAATCTGGAATATTTCATTTTATTTGTTATTGAAGAGTTATCATTAATTACAAGAAAAAAATAATTAGTGATTATTTTTAATGACGGTTTTTAAATTCGTTGTTAAAATCATGAATTAGCGACGGTTTTGAGTAAACCTAGACTTTTTTAAATTTGAATCTTTGTTTGCTTTTCTCTCTTGTTGGAGGTTTGGTTCCCTAAATGTTAATTATTGTTTTTTTTTTTTTTTGAATAAAGATTTAGTGTTTTTTTTTTCGGTTGTTTTGAATATTTTGGTGATAGTTGATGGGAAGAGATCTTCCATCAATAAAGTCTAGTAGTGAAGCTTTATTCCTCGTGGTTTCGTGGTAGTTTCAATTGAGTATGTCATATTATAAATTCTTGCGAAGATAGTCTAAATTTGAGAATTTCAAGGAGTGTTGCTTTTCATTTAAATTATCTACATTGATGGAAGCACCAATTGCTTCTCAAATTGTTGGTTTTAATTGTTGTTATTATCAAGATCTATTCCGAACATATAAATTCAATTGCAGCCATATCATTTCTATATTTTTTAATATGAAAATAACATTGTACTGTGCTTTAATTGATATTTAATAAAATACTATTTTTCATTCTGAAAGTGATTAATGCTAAAATTAACCTCCTGCATCATATCGTCTCGCCCATCTCTTTAAAATTTTAAACCTCGTGCTTCATTTTTTTCGCCAGTGGACAGCTCCAAAACCCTAATATTTCTGATTTTTGCATCCTTTTTTTCCTTCCCATCGCTAATCCTGCACTTCATTTTCTTTTCCTTTTTTTTTTTTTTTTTTTTTTTTTTTTTTTTTTTGCAAATCTAGATTTATATTTCCATATCTTTATGTGTTTTTTCCTTTTTTTTAAAAAAAAAAAATCTAGATCATTGAGAATCTGGAATATTTCATTTTATTTGTTATCGTAGATTTAGGCCTAGACTTTTTAGATTTGAATTTTCAATTATTTGGTTTCCTTTCTTGTTAGAGGTCTGTTTTCCTAAATGTTAATGATTTTTTTTTTATAAAAATTTATTGTTTTTTTTTCCACTTGTTCTTAATATTTTGGTGATGGTTGATGGAAAGAGATCTTCCATCAATAAAGTCTAGTAGTGAGGCTTGTTCTCTGGTGGTTCATATTATAAATTTTTGCAAAGATAGTCTAAATTTGAGAATTTCAAAGAGTGTTGCTTTTCATTTAAATTATCTATACTGATGGAAGCACCATTTTCTTCTCAATTGCTAGTTTTAATTTTTGTTATCATCAAGATCTATTCCAAAAATATAAATTCAACTCCAACCATTATTATCTTTCTATATGTGTTATATGAAAATAACATTGTATTGTGCTTTTATTGATATTCAATAAAATATCATTTTTCATTTTCAAAATAATTAATGCTAAAACCTCCTATTTTATATCGTCTCTCTCATCTCTTTAAAATCTAAAACCTCATGTTTCATTTTTTTTCCTTGTTCGAGGACTGCCGTTGGTCATTTTTTAGCCAGTGGCAAGCTCCAAAATCCTACTATTTCTGATTTTTGCTTCTTCTTTTTTTCCTTCCGTTCCCTAATCACGCATTTCATTTCTTTTCCTTTTTCTCAAACCTCGATCTACATTTTCATGTATTTATATGTTTTTTTTAAATTAAAAAAAATCTAGATCATTACAAATATAGAATATTTCATTTTATCTGTTGTTGTAGATTTAGGTCTAGATTTTTAGATTTGAATCTTTGTTTGGTTTTCTTTCTTGTTGGAGGTCTGGTTCCCTAAATGTTAATGATTTTTTTAAATAAAAATTTAGGGTTTGTAGTTGTTTTGAATATTATGATGATGGTTAATGGAAAGAGAGCTTCCATCAATAAAGTCTAGTAGTGAAGCTTGTTCCTCGTGATTTCGTGGTAGTCTCAATTGAGTATGTCATATTATAAATTCTTACAAAAATAATCTAAATTTGGTATTCAAAGAGTGCTGCTTTTCATTTAAATTATCCATATTGATGGAAGCACCATTTGCTTCTCAAATTGCTAGTTTTAATTGTTGTTATTATCATCTATTCCAAAAATATAAATTCAATTGCAACCATTATTATCATTTCTATATTTGTTATATGAAAATAACATTAATTGTATTTTGCTTTAATTGATATTTAATAAAATTAATATTATTTTTTATTCTAAAAAAAATTATGAAAGGATTTTTAATGAATCCTGACATTACCTTCTTTTACTCGAGAACACTGCAATATTTTCCATGACTTAGTGCATAACTTTTCTTCGTGAAAGGGAAGAAGTTTTAAGCACGATTTAATAGTAAAGTCCTCGTTGAAGGATTTTTAAGTTTTCTGAGAGGAAGATTTAGTTTAATTTGCTTGACACACAAATTATTTCAAGGATATCCTTAATATAAAACAAAATTATTCTATGAAATGGATTTATTTATTTATTTTTACATGCAATTAAAACTGGAACAGATATATAAAGTCAAATCCCAGTTTAGTTTTTTTTTCTTTTAATTTTGGTCCAATGGATTGGCTAGCTAATCTAATTATATATTTACAATTCAGTCAACCGGTTCAACGACTGATCAATGGAATATACCTAAATCTTCAGATTAAGATGTTGGCTTTAGGAACTTCAAAGTTCTTTTCGCTAGTTGCAAACTTGGTCGTTTCTTACTGCTTTTTCAATAATGCATTATGTAAAACGTATACCTGCAATATCCTTGTAATGCAAAACGGAAAAATCCCAGAAGTATAAAATATATGAAAAACTTATATACACCCTCAGAACTACAGGCAAAAGCAATGCAAGAATATAAACCTTTTTTTTTTTAAGTAAGATTGCAAAGCACGTGTTCTCTACGAAACTTGTTCATATAATTTTCACTTAACGACTCCTTTCTTTTCCGCAATTTTTCTTTTTATGAGGCTTTTCTCTATAGTGAAACAATATTATAGAAGCTAGCACATAAACCCAAAATGAAGAATGTTTTTTGTATCATCTATATATATATATATATATATAATCATAGACTACACTTTCATGCTAAAATATTTTCAAGACGTATACATATAAAATTTATTCACCTTCCGTAGTGATAATGACTTGGTAACTAACCATTGAATTATCCCGTAGTTATTGAGGAGCATCCAGACGTCATGCAGGATATTGTGTATAAAATATAAAGTGAAACCAATTATGTTGATGTATTTTTTAGTAGTGGGATCTAGCTTAATGTTAACTTAATTGGGGAGAAAATGACAGATTAAGACATGCAGAAAACTTCGGGTAGATAGATTTTATCTTTACAGTTGCCGCACCATGTCCCCTGTAATCATTACAACACATATTATCTGGATTAATATAATTAGGCTTCTATCATATTAATAATTAGGACTGAAATCATTGGTCAGATCAGTTTATTCAACTATCCAAAATATCTGGTAATTGTTTGAATTACTTGATAAAAGATTGAAACAAATGTGTGGAATAAACTAATTGATTAACAGGATTAGTCTTATTGCCCAAACATGGAAGGATCTGATTCTGATTGATTATAGCGAGAATTTTTTAACACTAGAGAGAATTAACAGCTTGGCGTTTTGGGCTATACCTGCTATCAGCAGAGCTTCATTCAAACTGGTGGAGTGCAATCAACTGAAGATTTACCCCTACACAAACCACACAAACCCTTCTCTCTCTTTCCTTTGCTACTCTTACCCTTTTGACCACTCTCAGTTTCAGGTGAAAACATCCTGGCTGGAGGTGAACTCCTCTTACTTTGCCTCGTCTTCGTATCACTCAAATCCATCTCCGTTGGAAGCTTCCCAACTCCCAGTCTATTCGAATGACGTCCTGAACTCATCGAGGATGACAAGTTCGATTCCTTTCTCATCGAAGAATCACTCTTATCAGCACTTAATTTCCTACTTGCATGCCCTTTGTCAGTATTTTCACAATCCTTGTGGTCAGTACTCTTTTCTTGTTTCGTTTTCCTCGGTGAAGCATTGCTTCTTGCGGCAGCTCTCTCAGTTGATTTACTGGAAGAGTGTGATAATTTTGATGGCAACATGGACTTGTTCGTGTTTTCTTTTGGTTCGTCTGCAATTTCCATTTTCTGTTCTTCTTCAGCTACGACCTGTTCTCCTTTGTAAGGTATGACCTTTCCACAAAAGATGATGCTGTCTGAGGAATAAGCTGTAGAGGCAGTACTGGCTAATTCTTCGGTGGGAAACTGAAAGAAATCTTGTCGATCTTGTTTGGAGTGGTTATCCCTACAAGCACTGTCGCAGTTGTTTAATGAAAGATTACAAAAAGAGAACGTTTCTTCTGCATCTCCAAAATTTTGCAAGCCAGTATTTTCTTGTGCTGCTTCAGGGTTAAATTCCTTGGCGCTAATCATTGGGTGATCTGAAAATGAAAAAAAAAAAAATATATATATATATATATATATATATATATATATATATGGATGAAGTAATCAATGTAATTAAGGACTGAGGAGGGCGTATTGAAAAATTCAAATTGTAGTTTGATGGAGGGCTAATCAAGAATCCATTTATATCTATTTATATGCAGAAAGGAAAGAGAGAGACAGAAGGGAACGAGTTTTGGTTGATGTTGTTGGAGTTGGCTAGCTATGGAAGACTAGGAATACAGCAAGAGATGCATCTATTCTGGCTTGAACCTTTCTAGATTTCCTTAATTTATTAACACCCATATCATCTTTTTGTTGGATTCTGTTATAGATTTTAATGATTACAGACATTAGGCTTGGCTTATATGGTAGTATGCTCTGCTGCTTGTTGCCTAAATTAACAAATTTCTACGAATGTCCTGTCCGGGCACGAATAGGCTGGATTCGATACAATTTCCATACACAAAATTAATTTAAAAAGATAAGGCTAAATATCATGACAAGAAAGAAACTCTAAAAGTGGACATGGACTTTTGAACTGTCGAATAAGTCTATGGATTTTTTTGAGATTTTTTAGTAGAGTTGTCCAACTATTTATCTATTTTTGAAGTTTTTTTCCTATCATATGTTATTGATATTTAACATTATTTATTTAAGAATATCTATAATAAGCAAGATTTTCAGGATTATATCAGATTTGTCTTGTCATTATTTTCTGTATAAATCGTTAATAATTTAACATTACTAGATATGTAAGGTGAGGTGAATTTAAAGGAGGGGATTTGGCTTTCCATTTGGCGACGTATAAAATGGATCATCATACTCTGTGTTTGTATATATTTTTTTCCTTCACCGTTTTTGCTAGAGAAGATATGGAAACTACACGCGTTAGTTGTTGGCAAAATCATGTTTAGTCATTTTTGGAGATTTTATCACTGTTAAAAAGGTCAACATTGAAAAAAAAAAAAAGCTACTTTTTTTTCAATTACAAGTTTGAATTACATGCATCTTTGAGTATAATCTTAAAATCGGCATAACCTAATTTTAGCATTGTCTAGTTGAGTTGGTAATTGGAATTTAATTGATCAAAGAGTTTATAGTCTTATAATAATATTTTTTAAAATAAAAAATTATGAATTTAAATATTTATAGACTAATTACATTACGAGTCTCGGAGATATGAGTTAAAAAAAAATTGAAATTTAATTTCAAAATCAAATTAATCATTTTTTCTTCAATTTTCTAACTTTATTGTGGATGGTCTGTTTTAATTACACTTGAGAGGTAATTTAGTATTAATACTAATTAAAAAGTTCGTCAAAGATATATAGCACAAATTAATTATTTATTATACTGAAATTGTATTTTCCTATATCATGTGACGGTGGAATTCATGAATACTTTTCATGATAAAATTCTATATTTTTTTAAAAAAAATACGGAATACAACTTTTAGTATATCTAATAATTTCTCAAATGACGCATCATTGTCAAAATGAACAGAATATAAGAATTTTTTATCTTGAAGCAGTCTAACGTTAAAATCTTCGAACCCATGCATTACAACTTACGTGGTCCTTGTATAAATCCAAGTAAAAGACAACAAAAACACGTCAGTGCCCATTGGACGTTTACTTTTAATTTTTGTGAACTAGTTATTGAAAAATACCTGAATTGAAATTAATAGTGCTGATCGGAATAAATACTGCCGTGGATAAGTTATCGACTGTCGTCTCGGAAATTTAGTCCACCAGAACCTTTAAGGGTACCAGTGATTTTTGACACGTTCATTTTCAAATTATTGAAATTAAGTAATTTTTCAAAAACAATGGTACAGATTCGTTAAACTAAATTCTATGAACAATAATTATATAGAAAAAAATCGTGAACTTTTTTAGGAAATAATTGTTTTCTGTAAATGATTAAATATTTTTTTCTTGTTCCTTCGAAAAAATGCACGAACTTTTTATTTTCATGAAAATTCTTTTAATAAATTTTCATCGTCATTTTTTTCTGATTTTTTTTTTATGTTATATGAATTTTAGTATATATAGTGGAGTCAAATCAATTGTACTGATAAAAAGAAAAAAAAAGATTGTATGTTTTTTTTTCATCAAAGATAATAATTCCATTAAATTGAAATTTTTTCTATCTCCAAATAAGAAGTCAATCAAGAAAACTTAGGAAGAGAATAAAGCGAGCTTCCATGCTACCATAACAACTTCCAAAAACATACAATGAAAACCTTACAGTATAGAATAATATATATCTATATTTATTTTTATTTTCATAACCAGTATCTTGATATATATATATATATATATATATATATGAGTAAATTATAAACTAGTTCCTCTATTTTTTCAAGAAATAAATTAATTAATCCTTTTTATTTTTAAAAATTAAATATTAATACCCTAACCAGGGATGACTATATTTAATTTAATGTTATTTTATTTTAAAAAATATAATTTTTTTCTTATAATCATTTCATATTTTTTTAGTACTTATTTTGTTCTTTTTGTATTTTTTATAAAAAAAAATAAAATAAATTCAAAAGAAAAAAATTAAGTTATAAGAAAATTTAAAAATATAAAGACTAAATAATTAATTTTTGAAATAAAGAATATCGATTAATTCGTTTCTTGAACTAAAAGTACTAATTTATAATTTACTTTGGTATATTACTACTAGATTGTGAGTAAATTAGAAATTAGTTTCTTTAGTTTTGAGAAACGGATTAATTAGTACTTTTTTCAAAAACTGATTATTTAACTTTTTTATATTTTATTTTTTAAATAAAAATGAAAAACAAATATTATAGAAACTTTGATGAGAAAAGAAAATATTTTCTGAAATTAAGTAATATTAAATTAAGTCTGTGGTGAAAGAACTACATAATTAATTTTTAAAATAAGAAAAATTAATTCATTGATTTTTTAAAAAAAAAACTAGAGGAACTAATTTAACAATTTACTCACTAGATTGCAGATTGAAGAGAATCAACAGCTTGTCCAATCAAACAACATGACCTGCTACCAAAACTTAACTCAAACTTGTGGGATGCAACCAAGTGAATATTTACCCCTAAACAATCCCCACGAACTCTTCTCTCTCTTTCCTTTGCCGCTCTTATCCGTTTGATCACACTCGTCGTCAGATATTGGAAACATCCTGGTTGGAGTTGGAGTTCTCTTACTTTGCCTTGTCTTCATATCACTCAAATCCATCTCCATTGGAAACTTCTCAACTCCTAATCTAAACGAATAACATCCTGTTTTCATCAAGGGTGAAAAGTTCGATCCCTTTCTCATTGAAGAATCATACTTACGATCAACACTTAATTTCTTGGTTGCATACCCTTTGTTAGTACTTTGACAAGCCTTGTCACTCTTGTCTTGTTTCTTTTTATTTGGTGAAGTATTGCTTCTTGCAGCAGCTCCCTCATTGAGAAAGTGCGATAGGTTTGATGAGAAGATGGAGCTCTTCTTGGTTTGTTTTGGCTGTGCTGCGATTTCTTGGCTCTGTTCTGTTTCAGCTACCTCTGTTTGATCTCTTTTGTAAGGTATAAGCTTTCCACAAAAGATGATGCTGTCTGCGGAATTAATAGAGCTGGCAGTACTACCGGTCAAGTCTTCGCTGAAAAACTCAAAGAAATCTTGATGATCAAACGAGGAGCTTCGATCTTGTTTGGAGAAGTTATTCCAATAAGTGTCACAGTTCTCTAATGAAAGATCAGAAAATGAGAATGTTTCTTCTACATCCTCAAAATCTTGCCAACCAGTATTTTTCTGCACTGGTTCATGGTCAAATTCCTTGGTACCAATATTCATTGTGCGATCAAAAAATGGAGAAGAGAAAAGGATATTAAGCAAGTGAGTAATCAAAGTAAGGATAGTTTATTGAAAAAGTCAAATTGTAGTTTGATGAGGGGGATAATCAAGAGGTCCAATTATATATATAGAAGAGAAAAGAGATAGAAAGGGAATGAGTTTTGGTTGACGTTGATAGAATTGGCTACTTCTAGAAGACTATGAATACGGCAAGAAATGAAGAGGAGCAAATGGGATGGTTTCCTTTCTTTGCTATTTGCTAATTGGGGTGTACATCTAGAAGAACATCTTGTTAATATGTTTAGATAATTGGTTTTCTGGATGCATTATTGGGCTTGATTTTTCTCGATTTTCTTAATTTATTGACATTCATATTAATTTTTTCTCTTTTTAACGAGTTGTGTTGGATTCTTTCGTAGATTTTTATCATTACATATAAGATTTGCTTGCATGGTAGGTTATTTGTTCCTCAAATTGAAAAATTTTTTGTTTTTCAAAAAAAAAATTACTAATAAGATGTTGTTTGGTTATCATAAATGAAAAATATAAAAAAGTAAGGTCCAAATTTTGATTACATTAATTTTTTTTTTTTTTGTTATAGCAATACAATGAGAAAAGCTATTTGTGATATAATCAAAAGTTAGTTAATCTCCCAATTAAAAACTAAAATCGCCTTGATGTACTAAGTTAGATCTACAAGAGTGTTTATATTAAATATTCACGAAGAGATTTTCACTGTTCCCTGCATCAGATTTGCCAGACGATTCTTGTTTTAAGGTCAACCCTGGTCCTAATTAATTGGAAGAATGATTTCACACTTGTAGATATATACGTAAAATGAAATTAAATAGGGCAGGTGGTGGGATGGATCCCATTTTCAAGGCACTCAGTTGTGTGCTATTGGCTTTCCACTTCGTGACGTGTAAAACGGACTATCATACTCCGCGTTTGGATTTTTTATTTTTTACTCAATCGTTTTCGCCATAGTTTTTTTTTTTTTAATAAGAGGACATGGAAATTACACGCGTCTATAGTTCGCAAATTATTTTGTTATTTTGGAGATTTCATCACTGTCAAATTTTGTAGGTTCAAATTGAGAAAATTAATGGTGAGAATAAATCTTTTTAATTATCTAATTGATCTTTTGAAATGTTTTTAAGTATGAGTTTGAATTGATTATCAAAAGAAAAATAATTATGAGTTTGAATTAGCAATCACATTAACATGCATCATTGAGATGGAATGCTAAAGATTGGCATTTCTTCTCTTCTGTTGGATACTTACATACCCAATAATAGTCGGCAGAACCTCTGTTTATGTAGAAAAACGTTGATTCCATCTTGAAAATGGCTTATTTGGGACGTCAACTGTGATTCAATTTCAAAGTTATGTCTTAACAAACATGTATTTTTTCACAAATTCTTTGAGTTCAAATTGAATGTACTATTTATGAACATAGTTAAGTGGATTAAGCTGATTCTAATATTATGGTCTTGTCTGGAGGAAGAACAAGAATAATGAATGACTGCGAATAATTGTTTTCCCCTTTCTCTCCTATCTTTTCCAATAAATTAATTATTCTTGCTATGGAAACCGGATAAAATAGAAGCTCACAACATGAAAGTATACTCTTGAGTACCTGCTCTCTCTGCATATGCGTCTGCGTCCATCCAGTAGGCTATGGTATGGCCCATTCTAGATAGATAATGATTTAATGAGCTGAGATTCTTAATTACCAAATATTTTAGGGCGTAATCTTACTTTCTAGAATCAAAGTCAGTAACAACTGCCCAAATTTCGGGAATGGTAAGTTTATTAAACGAATGGGAATGCTTCCACACAGAAATGTTATTTGACAAGTTCAGTGGTTGTGTCAGCTTGTATTGTTTTTAAACGTTAGTTTCTGTTTTGTTCTACATCGCATTTTTTTGGAGAAACAGTACTCAGACACAAGCTTCACGAATTATATTAAAAAAGAAAAATCTTGTGATCCTTTCTGATTAGGCTAATTGGTCTTAAAATACTTTGAATTTTAGCCAATAGGAACGGTCTACAATACTATATTTTCTAATTTTGTTCGAAATTGACTGTTTGTATCGTTATTGGTTGTTCCAAGTAAAACTCCTAACAAAATATTGTTTTAAGGTACTTTTAGTTATGTTTTGAAATTTCCCAAAAAATATATATATATAATTGTTTAATGTTGATTTTTTTTAATCAAAATTGATTGTTTAAAGCAACCAATTATGAGTATATTTTTGTGGCTTTCTTGTGGATGTGTATTGTAATATGTCCAGCTGATTAAATTGTTATGATTTTTTATGATGGATTAGAAGCCTTAGAAGGATATCAATATTTCTTGTTCTCAAAGTTCCAGCAGGCGATATGCAATTCAATAGTTTTCTACCTGGTGCGATGGAAATTGTTGTGTTGTTTTTTATGCTCTAAGCATGTTTTAGACTATTGATTTTCATTAATCATAGTATGCTTTCTCATATTAGTTTCATTTATTTGCATGTACTTATTGATTTTAATTCAATAGATAATTATTTCTCTAAAATATAATTCTCTATCTTGCCATCATTAATTTTTGCTTAGCTACGTGAACACAGAAAACTTTTTTGTGTAATTTAACAAAGCACCATAAATATTTTGTAATTGCAAGTCCTATAAGCTCATATTTCCCTAATTTAATGGAAATAAAGGTTAAAATCTTACAGATGGTTTAATTTTGTTCTTGAACTATCAGAGTTGTGGTACTTTGAAGCTTATACTATCAATTTGGTAAATTTTGTCTTTGAACTGTTATGTTTTGGGAAAAAATTATCTCTTTATTTGATTTGACCATTATCATTGATAAAAAAAAATTTTTTAAAAATTATTTTTTGGTATTTTGAGTTAAAAATTTTCACATATACTAACAAAAAATCAATATACTTCAAAAAATGATTTTAAATTTTTTTGAGTTCAATAAATATTTTTTAATTTTCTCGAACATTAAATATTAACAAAATTTAGAGAATATGAAATAATTTGAAATGATTCCAAAATTTGTAAGAGGCCTTGAGAAAATCATAGTCCCTTTGTCCCGAAAAAATTATCATGTTCGATTTTTCACGCATATTGAAAATGTTATTGATTGATATGACATGGGATCGTTTTTTATCTATACTTTCCATAAAAGGACTGTTTTTAATTATAATTACTTCGCTAATGAGTTTTTTTAAATAAAAAATCATAATGATATCGCATCTTCTGTCGACACAATAAAATTCAAAATGGAGACACCAGTATCACTGGTTACTTTTGTTTTATTTTAAGACAACAACCAAAAGTTACCTAAGATAGCCTTTTATGCTATAAGTTTTCACAGTCTAAAACTGTTTTTTAAAACAAAACAATCATAACTTTTTTCATGATAGAACTTCTTATATATATATATACCCAACATGTGTCATATCCTATTTTATTTTTTTAGCTTATGGCATAATCAAGGTTCAATTAGCATTAAAAAAACATTTTTTTTTCTTTTATCTAAACCAGGTATGACACTAGATTAACTCCTCATCCGGTCTGGTACCCTTATCCGGTCTGGTACCAAATGCTTTTTTATACATTACCAGATGATTCTTTTTATGATGTTGGAGGACAGCCAAGGTGCTTTGATTCTGAACATGAGGATGAAAGCTTTGTAAAAGATGGGTACATATGTAATTCAATTTATGTAGATGTAAATGGTTTCTTCTTTCATCTCATGATTTTCTCTCCCTTTATATTGGTAATGGCGTATGTAATGATCCCATCATAATTACAGAACAATCAACTAAATTACATAGATATAAGATAATTATTTATAATTCATCAAGTGAATCTATTTAAATAACTTATTCATTACAAAATAAATAATTTTTATTTTCCTTCTCGAATGTAACAATATGTTTTTTGAACGGTATAGTATTATTAATAACGAGCATAATCAGACAATAATTAATTAAATTACTTAACAATAAATGGAAAACTTCAATAGTATGTAACTTGAAGGCATAATAATTATAATGTTTTTTAATAACAATTGAAATTATACATTACCCACTGCTCACTGAGACCAATTGATCAATACATATTCACCCAGACTTCCTAGTGTTAGACTGCTTTTGTTGAATTTAATCTTATACTTAGGAAATCTCGATTACTTACCTTAAGAACAAACTGAACCTTTATATTAAATGGAATGTTAAGTATGTTTTTATCGATTTAACCCACTTAATTCCAAATCATTTTTTATTATTATACAACTAACCTACATATAAAAAGAAATATTAACATAATGCAGCGCCTAAATGAAAAATACAACTCAATCAGGGTTAATTGCAACCATCAGGGTCAATATTTGGGCGTTAGTATAATAATAACAACAAAGAAGCCCATTTCGAAGGTTCTTAGAAGAAAAATTCCCAATAAAACAACTCGAATTTTATAACACCCCTAAAACCAACTCTGAAAAACGATAAAGTCAGATTTTACCCATATTTAATTTAATCTCGGTCAAATCAGTTTAACCTCCAACCAATAGAATCGAACGGTGTCCAGTGAAATAAGCTTAATGGATTTGTAGTGGAAAAAAGGCGAACGGGCTAAGGAATCATACATTAGGCCCAAAGGAATACAGGTGGAGATAGTTTCTCATGCTCACTGAACAAAGAACACGACGTCGTCGTCGACGTTTCTTTGGCAGCATTCATGTTCCCACAATATTCTCGATGCACCTAGAAAATCCTTAAATCGGAATGGGTACACAAGCGCTTCTACGCACTCCCACTCTTTTCCAAAGCGCGCGATAGCAACCCCAAAGTGGATAAGTTCCCAACCAAAAATACGCGTATTTATGCGAGTGAGATAGAGACAGAGTTATAGAAGTCAATGAAGGACGTATCTGATATTCTAAATACATATGGAGGAAATTTTGGGAAGAAAAAGTATTTCATTACTAACGCGACCCTCTCTCCTCACATTCTCATTCACTACTCTGCCTATCATTTTTCTCCCCGTAAGGGTTGAAGCAAAACTTCTTCATGTCAGAGTCTTGTATCCTTATCATTTCATTTTTCTGTGATTATGTAACTGAGTTGCTGATTAGTGTCAAATTAAGTCCTATGTTAATATTTTGGTTTATTTGTCAGAAATTTGTGATATCTTTTAATACGAAATTTAAGAATATAGAAAAGTATGTTTGTGTACAAATATTAATTTTGGTATTGGTTTGGTATGTTAAGTATATCAACCCTAAAAAAAACTCTATTAGCTAGGTGAGCAAACCTCCTAGCATGTGTTCATCTATCATCATGCTATTGTAAGTTAAAGATATCCATTTCTTTTGCATAATTGTATACTAAAAGAAAATTTTCTTTGAAATATTGTTTATTACATTGAAGTTTGAATTAAAATTTAGTGAGATCCAACCACTAAACACCTTAAAAGAAAGTCAACCTTGAAGCTTCCTATTGTTTACAAATGTTTTGGTTTTGTTTTTGTTTTATGTTTTGAAAATCCATGTTTTTTGTTATGGTTTTATCTTATAATTGGTCATTATACGGTTGTAATTTTTTGATTGAGACCTTCTATTATTTTTTAAGTTGATCGAAACCCTCTAATCTTATAAATTTATTGATTGAGACCCTTTATTGTCGTTAACTATTTATCATACGTGACAAGTTAAAATTAACGGTAGCCAATCAAAAAGCGACAAATGACAAAAGATTGTTTGGTCTAGAATACCAACAAACACTATTCATAAAAATGGGGGGCATTTTTCTTCTTCATCTTTTTCCTCTCCTACCGCTCGAGCCACTCTAACCGAAACCCACACACTATTAGCCACCCTCGTCCATCCTCTACTCCACCAAACCAGTCACCATTTTCAGCTAAGAGCTCCAAAAGCAATTGGATTCCAACCTCTCTAAGCTCACCCAAGCTTTTCCAACTTCTACAATGGTCGTAATCGCAAAAGATGGTACAAGTAAAGTATGGAATGATGGGGAGAGAACACCTCGTCAATCTCTATCACATTCGCAGTTAAAACATTATCGTTGTTGCCATAGTTAATCCTCATGTTCCCTCCCAACAACTTGCTCTTGAATTAGCCCAATCATTTAGTTGGCCTCTTTAGGTATTTTCAAGGCACCAAAAAATTACTTGGACAGATGGGCTTTGTGATACGATAGTTGTGTCCAATCCAAACATGAATCATTATCAAGTACTTATGGACATCATTAACCACCTAAAACCCCATCATTTACTAATCGAAAAGCCATTGTGCACCACGGTTGCTAACCACAAAAAGGTAGTAGATACTGCTAGAAAAAGGTCGAGCATGCTTGTGCAAGTTGGACTTGAGTATAGATACATGCCACTTGTTGTTAAATTTATTGAAATTGTCAAGGTGGGTCTCTTTGTTAAGCTAAAATAATGTCAATCACGGAACATCGTTTTCCTTTTTTGGTCAAGGTTAATAATCGGAATTGGTTCAATGCCAACACTCGGGGAACTTTGATAGAGAAGTGTTGCCATTTCTTTGATCCGATGAAGTCGTTTACGAGTGCGAATCTTATTTAAGTTTTGGCTTCGGAGCTATAGATGTTAATCACGGGGATAAAGTATATGATGAGAAGGTACAAGATATCATTGACAATACATATGTTATTGTTGAGTTTGATAATGGCTCTCGAGGGATGCTTGACCTTTGCATGTTTGCTAAAAGCGGTAAAAACGAGCAAGAAATATCCGTTGTTGGGAGAGGCTTTTGTTCTGAGAGTATTGTTTGTTTTGGTACTCATGTCGCAAGAATAAATGGTGTACGAACATTGAAAGCTAAGGATGGTCGAATTAAATATGTTGGGTTACATCATGGATCTAGTTATTTAGAACACCTTAACATCTTGTCCGCAATTCAAGAAAAAAGTGAAAAAGCTCTCGTAGTGAATTTTCAAGATAGGTTAATTTCAATAGCTATTGGAGTTATAGTATAGCTTTCTATTACGAAGGCCAATTTGTTACAATTCAAGAAGTCATGGATAAATATTATGGTTAAACAATTATGCAAGTCTTGTCTTTAGTAACACCACTACTTTTTGTTTTATTATCCTTCATTGTTCTTCAATATATCTTCATCAAAGTATAGAAAAAAAACCTAGAGGAAAACAATTTGGAATAATCATTTATGGGGGGTAACAAAAGAGTTAACGAGTGTTATAACGAAGGGTTTCAATCAATAAATTTGTATGAGTAAAGGGTTTCAATCAAACTGAAAAAATAATAAAATCTTAATAAAAAAAATTAAAACTCGTACAAAGACCAATTATGGGGTAAGCTCATTTTGTTATCTTTAACTAATTAAGTTGTAGTGTTTTTTTCTCCTTTTCATATAAGTGCCTAATGGGTTTCATGCCGTACAAATAAGTAATTGTTAGTGAAAATTTTAAGAATGTTACAATTGATTAGTTACTATTTGAGAGTGGTCTTATGAGATCACTTGATCCTTAAATTGTTATACTAGTTTTGTCTAATTGACTAATTTTCAAACTTTGAGGAGCCAATTTTGAACTTAGAACCCGAATATATCTTGATATCTCGACTTCGTATACATTTCTTTTTAATTACATCCACCATTTTTAATGACTTTCACCTTTTTAGTTTTCAATCAATATTAGCCAATGGTAAGTCGTTTAAGAAAATCAAGATTAGTAAAAATACATAACACGGTTCCTATATCATTCTCTCAAAATGGCTACACCATTTGTATTAGAGTAACCTACCTAACTTCAAATCAAATCCTTTTAATGAGGTCGCCACCACCACAACAACCATTAAGAACGGACATGACAAGGATATTCTTTTGAGATCGGTTTTAACTAAACACATTCCCATTCGGTTCAATCCTAATCTTTGATTATCCGGTTTTATCCTCTTATGACTATTGAATTTGCAATAACAAACGGCTTTGTTCATAATCCATTCACCCTCTCAATCTTTTTCACTTATCGTAAGTATTTATAATTCAATCGAGTGTTATTGATTTCATGTTTTAGTACATATTTTGGTAGTTCGGATACATGAACTTGATTTTATTTTTTAAAAGAAGATGACGGACACATAATATATGTTGAGTGAAGTGATGAATCTATATTTGTTTGTTTTCCAAAAATAGAAAAAGGATAGTGCTTGAGAAAGTCACGTCGATGTTGACTTATTATGTCTTAAATGGGTCGATATACCAAGCACCATAGCTTTACGGTGTGTTTGCACATCAAGTTGTGAGTTCTTTTGTGTCTATTTTTTTAGGTATTTTAGTTTACCAATAATAACATTAACATTAGATAAAATGAAATGGACTAACGTAGGATATATAGATAATGTTATTCTTTATAATCCAAGTTTGAGCTGGAAAGCTTATTCAAGATTACACTCATCAAATGGTTAAAGCATTAATAGTTATATGAGACCGACGTAGGGTGTAAATATAATGTTATAATCCAATTTTGAGTTGGAAAGCTTATTCATAGATTACATTCATCAAATGATTAAAGCATTGATGATCATATGAGATAATATATCAATATTATATAATGTTGCTATTTATATAACTCAATGCCCGTTTAGTCTTAATTTAATGTACCCATATCATAGGTGCGAGCTTTGTGTTACATGGAAAGACTTTCGATCGAGCTAAAGAAGATTGGCTATTGTATTGAACCATTACTTACCTTTGCTCTTTTTCTCATATGATCATATTAGTTTTGTTATTAAAAGTTATACACATATATGTTTTCGGTTTAAATGAAATGGATCCCTATGGTGTCTTTTGGAGTTGTCTTTTTATAAAGTAATTGACAACTTATTTCGTTTATTTGAAAATACTTTGAGAAGATTAGGTATGGTATTAAACTACTTCTTATCTTTGTTCTATTTCTCATATAATCAAATTAGTTTTGTTATTGAAGGTTATGCACAATGTTTTCGGTTTAAATGAAATGCATTCCCGGAGTTGACTTTTTGTCAAAATAATTGATAGCTTATTTTGTTTCTTTAAAAATGAAGTTTTAGTATTGATATTTCACATTTATTGGTTATGATGATTTTCCATTTGAATAGTTTATGGGGTTTTCATGTAAATAAATTAGTTATTTATTTGAAGTAGCAATTTAAATGAGATGACTTTGTGTATTGCAGAGCATTCATCCGTTCAATTTGGTTTTCACAAATTTGGTTGTCATTTTCCATTTGCCTATCAATTTAAGTTGCTTTAGTAGTAATTTCTCATTGCATTTAAGCATGTAGTATTTTCTCATGACATTTGAGATTGTTCACTACAAAAAATTTAAATATGCTGAATTATTTATTAACTAATATGTAGATTGTTGACTAAAGTTTGATAATGTTCTTATAATGTAGTCTATATCCAACATCCATATGCCAAGGCACTTTTAACCAATTCCTAAAGTGGTCTCTCTATTTTTTATTCATACACATGTGTAATAGGTTTCATTGTGGCCTTATTCTAAATCGTTATAAGGTTTGAGTTCATTACTCTAATTCTTACATGATTTTGGATGTAGTTGATCCTGGAAAGAGGGTGCTACTTCGAATCAACGACTCGGTAAAGAAGTAATCATTATAAGGTTTGAGTTCATTATTCCTTAATTGATGACGTGACCAAATTATATTTCATTTTGATTATCAATTTTGCGACCATATGGGTTCAAATTCATGATGTTTAATTTATGTTGAAAACCATATATTTTGATTTCAATATAAAAAATTATGCTGACAAGCAAATTTTATACATATATGTCCATTGTTTATTCATACCACCTCTATTGCATTGGTTGTGAGACAATTAGGTTGAAAACATGTATTTATATTGTTGTCACTTATCACGAGACTTTTGTTTCCTCCCTTCCAACCTTTTTCCATAGTTGTTGCATCTTTTTTTCACCAAATTTACTTGATCCAATTATGTTTATGTCCTTCTCTCTCACTTAAGTGCATCGACATTAATGAATGGATAAAAAAACCTACACCCAAAACAATATTTGTCACTTATATATATATATATCCTTCATCGTTCTATTGGACAATCTAAAATTTTAATTTCCTTAAAAAAAAATGCATCTCTTGCATTTTATCAAAAAACGAGGTCTAAAACATATAATTATGTCTTCCTACAACATATCACGAGTTGTAAATTAGTAACACCTAAAAGAAGTGAAAAACACTAAAATCTCTCGGATACAATTACTTATCTCTTCAACACCTAACTCTAAAAAATGATAAAAGTCGATTTTACTCGGATGTAATTTAATATCGATTCAATCAATTAAACATCCAATTAATAGGATCGAATGATGTTCGAGTGAAACTACCCTTATTTCTCACCGAAAGACGAAGGTGAAGTTTGATGGATTTGCGGTGGAAAAAAGGCCAACGGGCTAAGCTAATTCGGAAAACAACTAATGAGATACTTGCGCTACGTTGCGATCAAATAACCATTACATACGTAGCATTAACGATTCATATGGTATAGTGCAAGTAGAATTTTTATTTCGATGATTAATGTAAATAGAATCTGTATATTAAGCGAAATCGTTTGATATATATGTATATATATACACACGCACACGCATAAACAAAATATTTAATAATATTAGCATAAAAATTTGTATTTGAATAATTGGAAGGTTATTTCAAAACATTAGCTAACTTATTTTATTTAAAAAAATAAATAATAAATAATTGGTATTATGTGTGTAGATATATAGTTAATTATAATAAAACTAACGATATACATATATTATACTTAACGATTTAAAGTATATAAAATAAATAGAAAAATAAAAAAAACCACCTAAATTGTATGAAATATATTGAAGTCAATAGATTAAAATAAAAACTACAACAAAAATGGTTATGATAAATTTTGAATAAATATATATATATAAAACAAATAAAACTTTGATTTTTTTTTTAAAAAAAATTGAGCCAAATTATCTAAAACATACTTCTCTCTCTCTCTCTCTCTCTCTCTCTCTCTCTATATATATATATATATATATATATATATAGAAAATAAAATGTCGATGTTATAAAATTTTATTCCAAAATTCATATATTAAAAAACCAAATTTATTAATAAATAAAATTATATATAAAAAAATTAATTTGAAGAGAATTTTAGCAAGAAAAATAATTGGAGAAATAACTTTAAAACAATAAGAGTAATATGATAAGATATATATATTTTAAAACTAAAATCTTAAAAAAATCATACATATTCTATTATCTTCAAACTGTACATAAAACTAAAAAAAATAATTTTTTTTCTATATTTTTCATGCCTAATTTCATTATATATATATATATATATATATATATATATGAAGAAACAAAAAAGCTAGACTCGCTAAATTGTACAATAAAATTGATTTTGAAATTTTTTTAATAAATATATTTAAAAAAATAAATAAAACTTATAGCATCGAATGATGTCCAGTTCACTGCCCTTATTTCTCACTGAAAGACGAGGGTGAAGTTTGATGGATTTGCGGTGGAAAAAAAGGCCAACGGGCTAAGCTATTTCAGAAAACAATAACAAGTGTAGTCCATGTGAAAGAAAATCACACATTAGACCCAAAAGAGCGCAGTTTGAGATAATTTCTCATGCTCATTGAACCGATAACACGACGTCGTAGTCGAGGCTCCTTTGGCAGAACTCTTTTTTCCCACAATAATCCCTACGCACGTAACAAATCCATCCTTAAACGGAAAGGGTAGACAAACGCTTCTACCCATTCCCGCGCTTTCCAAAGCGCGTGATAGCAACCTCAAAGAAATGAGGAGCTCGAGCCAATAATATGCGTATTTATGCGAGTGAGATAGAGACACAGTCATAAAAGGCACGGGAGGATGTATCTGGTATTCTAAATTCATATGGAAGACATTTTGGGAAGAAAAAGTATCGCTTTAGGAATTAAATTTCTCAAACCCTACCATGTCCTTAAATTCTAATTAGCTGTTCTGCCTATCATCTTTCTCGCGGCTAGGGTTTAAGCAAAACTTCTACAGGTCAGATTCTTGTATTCTTATCGTTTCTCTGTGGTTACATAACTGAGTTGCTGATCAGTGTAGAATTAAGTCTTATGTTAGTATTTTGGTATTTTGTTTAAGATATGTGATCAGTTTATCGGTTTTAATCTAGAATTTTCAGTTTGTTCTTCTTGAAATTTGATTAGTGTCTTTTCCAGTCCTATATGAAGTGGTTTGTAGAGATCTAACATGTTTTCGTTAATTTTTGAATCTTTGTTAGAAGTTATCATGTTATATTTGTCCGATCTTGGATGATATAGATCTAAGAATTAATTGCTTTGATTATGAATTTTTAAGGAAAATATCTTTTTACGTGTCTTATTTTTGTAGTTCAGGTCGATTTATAATTAGACGGGGTACTGAATTTGTTAATTTCTTAGGTTTTTTTTTATCATTGGTTACACCTTTGATATTTTATTGCTACAATTTTTCTGGCTATAATTAAAGCTTTTGCTATTTCTTTTGTCTTCTGGATGTTGACTTGCACTGTATTTCGCACTATGATTTCTTGTATCATCAGTATCTCACAGATGGTTTTATCAATTCATTTTCTTGTGTAACAGTTTTAAGGGTATCAGTTCATAATGGGTAAAGAGAAGTCTCACATCAACATTGTGGTCATTGGCCATGTTGACTCTGGAAAGTCGACCACCACTGGTCACTTGATCTACAAGCTTGGAGGTATTGACAAGCGTGTCATCGAGAGGTTTGAGAAGGAAGCTGCTGAGATGAACAAGAGGTCATTCAAGTATGCTTGGGTGCTTGACAAGCTCAAGGCAGAGCGTGAGCGTGGTATTACCATTGATATTGCCTTGTGGAAGTTCGAGACCACTAAGTACTACTGCACTGTTATTGATGCTCCTGGACATCGTGACTTTATCAAGAACATGATTACTGGAACTTCACAGGCTGACTGCGCTGTGCTCATCATTGATTCCACCACTGGTGGTTTTGAAGCTGGTATCTCTAAGGATGGGCAGACCCGTGAGCATGCTCTCCTTGCCTTCACCCTTGGTGTCAGGCAAATGATCTGCTGCTGTAACAAGGTGTGTGTGTGTTTCTTGTCTCTTCTTTCAAGTTAATCATTTAGTTAGCATTGTAATGTTTCGTGTCACATATTTTAAAAGATATGTGTCTGCCTGCAACCGATGTTTATTCTTGCCTTTTTTGGAACAGATGGATGCAACCACTCCAAAATACTCCAAGGCAAGGTATGATGAAATTGTCAAGGAAGTTTCATCTTACTTGAAGAAGGTCGGTTACAACCCCGACAAGATTCCCTTTGTCCCCATCTCTGGATTTGAGGGTGATAACATGATTGAGAGGTCCACCAACCTTGACTGGTACAAGGGCCCAACCCTCCTGGAGGCACTCGACCAGATCCAGGAGCCCAAGAGGCCCTCAGACAAGCCCCTGCGTCTTCCACTTCAAGATGTGTACAAGATTGGTGGTATTGGAACTGTCCCAGTGGGACGAGTTGAAACTGGTGTGATCAAGCCTGGTATAGTTGTGACTTTCGGTCCAACTGGACTGACTACTGAAGTTAAGTCGGTTGAGATGCACCATGAAGCTCTCCAGGAGGCTCTTCCTGGTGACAATGTAGGGTTCAACGTTAAGAATGTTTCTGTGAAGGATCTGAAGCGTGGTTATGTTGCCTCAAACTCCAAGGATGACCCTGCGAGGGAGGCTGCTAACTTCACCGCCCAGGTTATCATCATGAACCATCCTGGGCAGATTGGAAAGGGCTATGCCCCTGTTCTCGATTGCCACACCTCTCACATTGCTGTAAAGTTTGCTGAGCTCCTCACCAAGGTTGACAGGCGATCTGGTAAGGAGCTGGAACAGGAGCCAAAATTCTTGAAGAACGGTGATGCTGGTTTTGTTAAGATGATTCCCACCAAGCCCATGGTGGTTGAAACTTTCTCAACGTATCCTCCACTCGGTCGATTTGCTGTGAGGGATATGCGTCAGACTGTTGCTGTGGGTGTTATCAAGAGTGTTGAGAAGAAGGACCCCTCTGGTGCTAAGGTTACCAAATCTGCTGCCAAGAAGGGTGGCAAGTGAACCTTGCAGGTTGCTTCTACCGAAAGTTATCTTATAAATAAAGACTGGGTTCATCTTAGACGTCTATGTTTTTGTTGTTTATCACTATGTCATGTGATTTTTAGTATGTCCTCACAATCATCTCGATTCTGTTCACAGAACTGGGTTCTTGATAGGCGGTGGCGGCCATTCTGTTTCGAGTCATTTTCTGGGTCATTTGTGTCTTGAGGCTTTTGAATTTTAGGTATCTGATTACCTATTATACTACATGTTCTGTATTTTCTCTGATATCTAGTCTTCTTTGGGAATTGATCTCTACTATTGTTTTTTGTGTGTGCGCTTCTGCTTGTTTCTTAGGATCTAAATTTAGAAGACCTCCTGCTCCTTTTTTTCACTTTCTTAATCTGGATTACATCTCTGTTTTCTTATTTTTAGTATTACAGACCAATAATAAGTTTAATTTTTTACCCGGAGCCACATGTGTTTTTGGCCTGATTAGCTGCCCCAGAAACTCAGAACTTCCTTGTACCAAAAGTTTGAACCATAATTTTTCAAAGAAATATCTTACTATGTATATTTATGAACAAATATTAATGTTAGTATTGGTTTGGTATGTCAAGTATCACAACAGTAAAAAATTCCCATAGCTAGGAGAGGAAACCTTTTAGCATTTGTTGATCCATCATAATGTTACTGCAAGTTAAAGATATTCATCTCTTTTGCTTAGTTGTATACTTACTTCCTATGTTTAAAATCGAGTGTCTTATGTTTGTCGGATTAAAATTTTAAATAATGATTTTTTTAAATACTTTTAATTAATTTGTTCTTTAATTAAATATTTTTTTTAAAAAAAAAAACCTGAACTTTCAGTTTAACCGAATTTTGAATTATAAAAACCCAACCAAACCCAAAAACCAAAGTAATTGCGGTTTGGCTTTTCTTAATAAAAAAAAAACACAATGAAATTGATATATGAATTCGGTTCGATTTGATATTTCTGTTTTAAATGTATAGTAAAAACTCTTGCTGATAGTGGGGACGTGGCCGTTTGTAGAGGAAAGTTGACGTAAAGTTCTTGATTACCGAAGTACGAGGACATGATTAGGGGCTGCGGCACTACGGGTGGTGTCGCCATTTACCGAGAGAGATTTAGGAACTGAGTTATGTATTTTTGTTGTTGACTTTGGGATTTTGGCAAAGAATGAAACCATAAATTTCATTTTATGCTAAACGGCAGCGTACTGTCACGAAGTAAATTTCTTTGTTTTTCCTCCCAAGTTTCACAACTGACCAACCGGGTCATCCTATTTCAGTCGATTTGGTTGAACTTTTACACGGTTCGGATAGGATCGAATTGGGTTAGGTCATAATCCGATCTACATTCTGTAGATGCAAGTGACATGGGGAGGTGATGGTTCAGCTGATTTAATATCCGATCTGATACTTTTACCTATTATTTATATACATATAATTATCATGATTCTTATAAATAAGCATATGACTACAATTGCTTTATAGATAAAAAAAATCGAAGTTTTTTTTTTAATTATATACGTGATCACTGAAACCATGTAAAATGCAATGCATTTTAACTTTTATAGTATGACTAACTAAGGTTTAATTTATAAATATAAACATGTAATGTAAACACAAAGATGATTAATTGATTAATGTGTAAAAAGTTAGTATTCTTTAATATGATTCTTAATACCACTATATTAAGTGCTAGGTGTTACATGATGTAAGTATAGATATTTATGTATTTTATTTTCAGGTTAATTAATCTAACATATTTTTTATACGTTATTTTAAAAATGTTTTACCCTCATATAGTGTTCGTATTTTCTCTCGCATGCTCCTTTACTGTATTTTTGGATGAAATTACCCTCGAACCTTCAAAAGAAAAATTGGTTTTTAAAAATCTAAAAACATAAAAAAATTATTTTTAAGAAAAAAAATATTTTAATTTAAAAAAAACTTGAAAGCCTGTAAGAAAACCCCAAAAAAAAAAAAAAAAAAAATCAAAATAGAATGTAAAATAAAAAAAAATTATAGCGCCCCAAAATAGAAATACATGTATGCTAATGAAATAAGTTTTGCAAAACTCTAATTTTTTCTTTTTTCTTTAATTTCCTTTTTCTATAGATATTTGTTATCTTAAAAATGTTTTACCTTCATATGGTGTTCATATTTTCTCTCGCATGCTCCTTTACTATATTTTTGGACGAAATTACCCTCGAACCTTGAAAAGAAAAATTGGTTTTTAAAAATCTAAAAACATAAAAAAAATTATTTTTAAGAAAAAAATATTTTAATTTTAAAAAAACTTGAAAGCCTGTAAGAACCCACCCCCCCCCCCCCCCAAAAAAAAATCAAAATAGAATGTAAAATAAAAAAATTATAGAGTCCCAAAATAGAAATACGTGTATGCTAATAAAATAAGTTTTGCAAAACTCTAATTTTTTCTTTTTTCTTTAATTTCCTTTTTCTATAGATATTTTTATTGGTTATGTGAATATTTTTGGAACGTTCTGAGTTTTTATGTTTCTGTATTTTTTGAAAAAAATTCTACTTTCTTTGTTTTTAAGAAATTTCTATAATTAACTTTTTATTTTTTGTATATTAAAAATAAAAGTTTCTTTTGGTAGTCCGAGATCTTTGTTCAAAAAAGTGACAAGTGGACGTATGAAAAAAGAAAATATAAATATACTATGGCGTACGAGAGTGCAAAGTTCTTGAAATGACATATAAAAATAGATAAATTGATTAACCTTTTTTTAAGTACATGATAAATTAATTTAATAATAATAGACATATAATTCAACACTACGCGCCGTAACAATTTTTCTTTTACCATACACTGCACATTATTTAAAGACATAAAAAGGAAAAGACAACGATTGATTTACCTAATGGAATGCATCATTAATTAGTGTTTGATGACATGATTTTATATTTTTAAATCATGTTTAGTATCGATGTTTTAAACACCACTTAAATGAAACACGTCAACTATAGATGTAATAAATTTTTTACCTTCAACGATGTGATCTTGTAAGGTGCTACGTGAAATTCGAAACAATCCCTTGTAATTAGATAAAAAAGAATCGTATTGAAGTGGATCTCCAGTAACGAAAGAAGCTCTCTATCTAATCCATCCTGAGTCTCTCTATAAATTGAGTATATGAGATCAACAAATATTATGTATCGGATGCAGGGATTTGATGAAATAATATCTCCTTTAAAAAACATCATTACCTTTCCCACACCAAAGTGAAAATAAAGCATTTTATTTTATTTTATTTTTCTTATCATTTGATGCCTATAGTCCCCTTTAGAAATCCTGATAAGGATTGTTCATTTTCGATTGAAGTATGGTTCGACTTGTTAGAGATTTTCTCGCTATTTGATTTAATCGATACTTTTTTTTTTTTTTTGCTAAAACAAGACTGATTAAATCATAAAAATTTTTTTAGGCAAATAGATCTATATTTTGGAGGAATGCAAAATAATATTATCAATTAAAATAATTTCATGATAGCCTCTCTAGACCAACAAAAGGAAATACTGTCCAAGCAAAATTGGTTGGATTAACCTATTTTTTCGCAAGCTATGCATGCACCTGTGCAGCTTTTTTCACTTCCTTTACAATAGATAATTTTATTTATTATTTCTACATGTTAATTATGTTTGGATATGATTATTTAAATGAAAAAAGTTACATATTCGCATCATGAGCTAGAGTAGCAGACTTATTTGGATTTTTAAGCGGTCCATTTTACATAACAGAAGCCAATTCTTGAAGAACGATTAATTTTACTTCTCCATCTAGCTACTCCACGTTGGTATCCCATTTTTTTTTTTATAACACCTGAAAAAAAAAAAAATCAAACAACAAAATAAAACCCGGCCTCTTCCTAGATTTTTTCCCCCTTTTCTCGGTTCTAATCCCAAAAAATGGAAAGGTCAAGTTAAAACTTAAAAGTCTTGTACTATATACCAAAATGATTAATAGCATGTTTCATCTATGTATGTTTAATGATTTTTTTAATGTGAGCGTTCTATATTTTTATTTTTTCTATTTAGTTTTTTTTATTTTAAATATTTTTTTTAATATGATTCTTCCGATAGAATTTCGATCAGTTTTTCAATAACAAGTAATATGTGAAACTACCACACAGATAATAATTACATGTTTTTAAAAAAACTTAATTTCAAAAAATAATTGTTTTTTTATTTTTTTAGTTTCATTTTATTATTTTTAGACACGTGCCACTATTACTTGAGGTGGCAGTCCACCGGTTACTTGTCGCTGGAAAATTTAGAGTAGAATAAATAAAAATAAATGGGCCATATTAAGCAAATATCAAAACTACAGGGATGGAATATGCGATAACCTAGACCAAATGAGTACGAGGACACAATGGGGATTCCAATTTCACAATGAGGAGAGATTAGGAAACAAAATTACCCCCAGGGTGATATAAATAAGCCACAAACCCTATCAGGCGCTCACTAACTCCCTGCTTTTGCATTTGCTTGGTTCTTATCTCTAGCGGCTGGGGTTTTAGCATCTCTCTTCAGGTTCGACTAACGATCTTCTATTTTTTCCTCTTCTATCGATTAAGCTTCTCTTATCGTAATTCACTGTCATTATGTTGTTTTGATTGCTCTGTTTAGCATTTGTAATTTGAATCTGTTTTATTAGCCTTTAATTCTTTTTTATTTTGAGCAATCTTTAGATCTTGATTTTTGTTTGCTTTGAAGACTGATATTGACACAACTTTTTAGATTTTTCGTGGTTTTGCTCAGTGAAACTTATTGACATATGTTGTTGCTGTTTATTTTTATTTAAGATATAATTTCTTTTGTTGGCTTTGATATATTTAAAAGAACTCTTAAGAATGCTCACTAAAACTAAATCTTTTCTGCTATATTTTATATATCATCAGAACGATATGCTGTTGCTGTTTAATAGAATATGTTTTTTTTAATGGGCTTTCAATATGTTAAACGCTATGGTATATTGAAGTTGGCTTAAACATTGATTTCTTTTGATTGATTTGTGGTCCAAGAACTAACATTTTACCCTAGAGGATTTGCTTTTGTTACGGCTCAATCAAGTAAACCCATTTGCATATTTTTCTTTTTTGTTGTGATTTCAGTGTCCTAGTGTTCTGTTTTTAACTTTACGACGTGTGTGTGGGACAGTTCAACACTAAAACTTCAGCATGGGTAAAGAGAAGAGTCACATCAACATTGTGGTCATTGGCCATGTCGACTCTGGAAAGTCTACCACCACTGGTCACTTGATCTACAAGCTTGGAGGTATTGACAAGCGTGTCATTGAGAGGTTCGAGAAGGAAGCTGCTGAGATGAACAAGAGGTCATTCAAGTATGCTTGGGTGCTTGACAAGCTCAAGGCAGAGCGTGAGCGTGGTATCACCATTGATATTGCCTTGTGGAAGTTCGAGACTACTAAATACTACTGCACTGTCATTGATGCTCCTGGACATCGTGACTTTATCAAAAACATGATCACTGGAACTTCACAGGCCGATTGCGCTGTGCTCATCATTGATTCCACCACTGGTGGTTTTGAAGCTGGTATTTCCAAGGATGGGCAGACCCGTGAGCATGCTCTCCTTGCCTTCACCCTTGGTGTCAAGCAAATGATCTGCTGCTGTAACAAGGTAGGTGTGTGTGTGTGTGTGTGTGTTTCCTGTCTCTTCTTTCAAGTTAATCATTTAGTTAGCATTGTAATGTTTCTTGTCACATATTTTAAAAGATATGTGTCTGCCTGCATCCGATGTTGATTCTTGCCTTTTTTGGAACAGATGGATGCAACCACTCCAAAATACTCCAAGGCAAGGTATGATGAAATTATCAAGGAAGTTTCATCTTACTTGAAGAAGGTCGGTTACAACCCTGACAAGATTCCCTTTGTCCCCATCTCTGGATTTGAGGGTGATAACATGATTGAGAGGTCCACAAACCTTGACTGGTACAAGGGCCCAACCCTCCTGGAGGCACTCGACCAGATCCAGGAGCCCAAGAGGCCCTCAGACAAGCCCCTGCGTCTTCCGCTTCAAGACGTGTACAAGATTGGTGGTATTGGAACTGTCCCAGTGGGTCGTGTTGAAACTGGTGTGATCAAGCCTGGTATGGTTGTGACTTTCGGTCCAACTGGACTGACTACTGAAGTTAAGTCGGTTGAGATGCACCATGAAGCTCTCCAGGAGGCTCTTCCTGGTGACAATGTCGGGTTCAACGTTAAGAATGTTGCTGTGAAGGATCTTAAGCGTGGTTATGTTGCCTCAAACTCCAAGGACGACCCTGCCAGGGAGGCTGCCAACTTCACCTCACAGGTTATCATCATGAACCATCCTGGGCAGATTGGAAATGGTTATGCCCCTGTTCTCGACTGCCACACCTCTCACATTGCTGTCAAGTTTGCTGAGCTTCTCACCAAGGTTGACAGACGATCTGGCAAGGAGCTTGAGCAAGAGCCAAAATTCTTGAAGAACGGCGATGCTGGTTTCGTTAAGATGATTCCCACAAAGCCCATGGTGGTTGAGACTTTCTCAACGTATCCTCCACTTGGTCGATTTGCTGTGAGGGATATGCGCCAGACTGTTGCTGTTGGAGTCATCAAGAGCGTTGAGAAGAAAGACCCCAGCGGTGCTAAGGTTACCAAATCTGCAGCGAAGAAGGGTGGCAAGTGAACCCTGTGAGCTGCTGTCTTTTCTCCACCTGAGGATTGTAGTGTTTTGTCTTGCCATGGCGGTTCAGATAATTGAGTTCTTGAAAGGCAGTGGTTATTTTCTGCAGTTTCTTTTATCTCTCAAGTTAAAATTTTGGAGACATGCTTCATAAGCTGCTCATGAATTTTTGGTCATGAAAATTTGGATGCTAAGAACTCTTCATGATATCTTGTTTTGTTCGTTGATTCTCTACTAATTGTCTTGTTTGCAGCCTATATTTCACTTTCTACTTGTTCTCATGTTTTATTTACCGCAGTATCTTCTTTTTGTTGTTGATGCTACTTTAGGATTTTATTGGGCTGATGCTCGGGCTACGCTGTGGGAAATTAACTTTGGATGTTAAAAAAATAAAATTTGCTAACAAAGTATGTGTTGGGCAAGAGGTGGGCATTGATCAGCAAGAAAAATTTAAATATGCCAGTAAATTACAACCGCATCAAAACAAAGCCATCTGCATCCAAAAACCCAATTAAATTGCAACAGGAAAAGAAGAATTATTTGTTTTCCTACTTGGTTCGTTTCATGTAAAGAAACAGCAAGATGCGCAAGCGAGTGTGACAGAATAAACCATGTAGAAAATCGCACCGGGATGTGCAACAGAAAAAGGCGAATCATTTGTTTTTATTCCTGTGTAGAAACAGTCGTAGAAGGGAAAAACATGAAATAAAATGTTAAGCAAATCCCATTAAGAAAAATAAAAAAATAAAAGTTTACTTCAATTGATCTGAGGCAACAGCATGTTCACTCTGTGTTAAAATCTGAAAGCTAAGAAATAGGCTATAAAATGTAACAATGATATGATATGAGGCTTGAATGGATGTTTGAAGATTTGTTTGGTCCAGTATAATTTTTACAAGTAATTATATGAAAAACACTGTCACAGTGCACAGCTGTCGCAATTACAATAATTCCATGAAGCAAATGGGTAAACTAAAATACAGTCGAGTGTACGCAAGACATATACGCAAGGTCAGTCTTCTTACGAAGGATGGCATGCTGTTCTAGAATCTGAATTGAAGACTATTGGAAAGCAAAGGCAACAAACCATGTTTATGTGTAGTCTGCATTAGCAAGGAACGTGGAAAATATCAATGTCAGGCAGGAGTATATTGTGGAACAAATGTTTTTCTTTGAGGCGCTTGTCTAGAAGTTTTGTTTTTTATGTGATGCACATGGAGAGCGAATGCAACAACAATTAAATCCAGTGATATATATATGCTTCCTAGAAAGTAGCAATACAAAAAACACCGAGGCAATTAGTTTCTTTGTACTATTATATTTATATGTTTGAGATTAGCAAAGGCTAAATTCATATACAGCAGCATCAAATTTTAAGGAGACAACAATAACTTTGTTCGTAAGAGTAATCAATATATACCTATTAGCAAGCTGTGTTTTTTTTTTTAATCGGTTTCTCTAATGCATGGCTTATCAAATGAGATAAAACATACAAAGAACACATTGCAGCAAGTAATGACGACAGGGTTTGATGTTTTTTGATAAAAAATACACTATAGCTGCTGCGGCAACCAACAACAATAAGCAGGCTTTTAAACATAAAGGGTCTAGCAAACAAAGAGCACAAATAGAAAGATCCCTTAAATATATTGTAAAACATATATATAGCCTATTAAAGAATCAATGTCAGCATTTGTAAGAAACAAAGGCAAAATGGGAACAAAAAGCAAAATAGAAAGTATGTGGTTTGAACTTGGTTTCTGAATGTGAATTGATGGTTTGACCAGAAACAACATCTAAGTAGGTGAGGCCAATACAATGAAGAAAACAAAGAACTGATAAAGCAATTTCTATGCTGGCAAGAAAAGCATGCAAAATGGAAGCAAATTTAAAAATGTGCCATATACAGCAAGTGACGGAAAAAATCAGCATGGCATTGGCAGTCAATGCTGAGGATTAACAACAAAGAACGGAAAAGCAAAAACTTATGTCGAAGAGAAAATATCATGACAATCATGTGGCATAAAGAATAAGAATAGGAAGTAGAATCAATGGTTGATTGAAATATGCAATTGTGATTAGCAAGAAACTACCACCAAATAATCGAAAAACAGCCTGCATTGAAACGAAAGCGAAATGAGACATGAAAACGGGCAACAGGTCTAACATTGCAGAGACAACAAAACCATTTAAAAGATAAAACGGACAATTGATGTATCAAAGCAAAACATATATTTTTTTTCAACGTATTTGTTGGATAGAGAAAACAGAAAATCTTAAGAGAAACAAGCATTCATGTCTTATCTGTGTTACAATGGACGCGAAATAAATTGATTTGAATTTGCAACAACCGACAAACGAAACTTTGAAAGAGGCAAAAACCATATTACAAAAACAAAATTGCAGCTGGTGGCCTTTTTTTAACTCAAAAGTAAAAAGAGAGAACATCAAGAATTTTTGCAAAAAGAAATAAAACTGGTTGACCTTTAGATCTCGCCCACCAGCTGGTAGCTAGCAAAAGCAGGCAAGGCACGAATGGGAAAAACAGGCCCTCATCAAAGAGGCAGCAAAAGTATGATAAGGAGGCAGTGTATAAGCAAACATGAATAACAGGAGAAAAATATTTTCTAAATACTTTGTTGAATACCAAACACAAGTAGCATGATGAAAAATAGGTATTTATCTTTCAAAAGTGTCAAAAAGCAGAGAAAATGAGGTTGATTCTTTGGTTTTTTTTTAAGAAACGAATGCAATTATGAAAACGCAACAACTAGTAAATAAACATTACAAACAACAAAGAGGTATATCCAATATATAGATATGCAATCATAAATTAGATATTTATCTAAAGTCTTTATCGGGATATATTAAATTAATGATTGCTGATTTTTGAATAAGCTCATACCTTCATGGGTATAGCCTATTTGTTATTTTTTCTAACCTTAATACTGTTTGCATTGAACAACCATCCGCCCTTTAATTTTCACAACACTGGAATGCAGAGCAAAGACCTAAAAGAAGCAAATCCAAAAAGACTACAAGATGAAACAAACACATAACATTTCAATAAATCTGTGAAAGAAGAACAACAAATTCTTTCATCCAAAAAAAAGATAGGCAAGAGAACAACAGCAAAAGCACAACAACAAACAAAAACCAAAAAAGAATTCATTAAAAGAAATAAAAAAAAAAAAGGCAAGCAAGAGAACAGTAGCAGAAGCATGAAAACAAAGAACAATAACAAAAAGATTTGTTAAAAGTCAGGCTAGAAAGAGAACGACAGCAGGAAGGAACAAAATAAACACAAAAAGAATAGGAACATCAGCAGCAATAATGGATAAAATTTAGAAGATAAGAGCTCTTATAAAATAAGAGAAGGAAAATAGTCAACAAAGCAAGCACTTGAATCAGCAAGAGGACAACACAAAAGCAAGACAAAAAAGCAGACATAACACAACAAAGCCTAAAGAAATTTAAATAAAAAAATCAAAAGGAAAGCCAAAGATGTCCACATGGACAGTAAACCACAACCAAGAAATTGAGATAACAAACCTAAGACAGCAAAAAAAGAAGGTAGCACTAAAAGCCATAGCAAGCATCGCCGAAATGCATAAAGAGAAAATGGAAATAAAGAACAAACAAAACATAGAGCACAGAGTTAGTATTGGTACAAAGAAGGGAAACCCAACGACAAATAACATTGGAAGCAATAAAACCAAGGCAGAACAACAAAAGTGAGATAGAGCCTCTTTCGGTTCTCTAACTCATTCTCGGAGATTTAATGTTATTCTTTTCTCCATAATTGCAGAGCTTCTTTCAGAGTTAGTATTGGTACAAAGAAGGGAAACCCAACAACAAATAACATTGGAAGCAATAAAACCAAGGCAGAACAACAAAAGCGAGATAGAGCCTCTTTCAGTTCTCTAACTCATTCTCAGAGATTTAATGTTATTCTTTTCTCCATAATTGCAGAGCTTCTTTCAGTTCATCAACTAATGAGACTCTTCTAACAGCATCCAGTTAAGGTTTGAATCTCCTAACCTGTAAAAAAAAAATTAAGAGAGAGAGTTAATGAGACCGAAACCTGATTTATTTTCTTAAATTCTTGATCTACTAAAACAAAATAGGCAAAGACAGTAGCTAAGATAACTATCCCTATCATCATTCCTAACACTAAGTAAAGAATAGATTTGAATTACATAGTTCAAAGCACATAATCAAGGTACTACAAGTTCTTTAAAACATCAAAGCAATTGCACCTGATCAGCATAAAGAGTAACATTAGAACCAGCTACAAGTGCCACAACTGTGAATTTATCTAGATTCTCCGCTACTATATCCAATGTCTGAAAGATAATCAAATGAAAGAACATGAATGGCTAGCACATGTTTACATAGTTTTTTTTTTAATTTGAATATGTCAAAGCAAATGTTAAAAAAAGAAGAAAAAAGGAAAAATCTTAGGAAAAAAAAATGCACATTATAGAATGATAATTTATCGTGGTTAAGCAATTGACCCAATAAAAAGTATGGATACCTAAAAACTAAGAGTGAGCTTCCTTGCTTCTTTTAAAGAGAATGCTATCAAGTAAAACACATGTTGGATAAGCCTCCTATCCCATGAGCTTTTCTGCCTCGTTAGCTCACTCTCTCTCAAAATATTCAAAAAGCAGTAGCCAATTAAGTAGAACAGTTAATTTTGTTGATGGCCAAATTATATAATTACCTGAGTTTCAATAGAACCAGCAGATCCAACAATTGATATAGAGGCTTAGGGTAATCCTAAGTCTTATGTGCAGGTTCTTGAACAGCTCTTCCTGGCCAAGCTGGGGGTGGCTGATTCTAAACAGAATACTAAATTCTTCTTCCTTCATAGTTTTTTCTCTTTAAATTAAGCCCACCTATATTAAGCATCACAAAGCACCAAAGTTTCGAACTCCATGCCTGGTAAACCACTTTCTGCTAAAATCGCCTCTTCTAGTGCCACCTGAAAGTCACTCAGC